GGACTAATATGCAGCACTGAGAAATCGGTACCAATTGCACTAATAGGAAAGAAACTGGGATAAATATGGCATACTGATAAGGGCACTGACTCTGGCCTCAAACAACCCCCTGGCTGCATCAGCTGCCACTGATAGGCACCTACTATGGAGCACATACAGGTGGCACGGACAGCAGCACTGGAATATGTCACTAGGGAATACTAGGCACACCGGCTATAGTGGCACTGAGGGTGACACTGATGATAGGGTAGATAACGGCACTGACTGGCATGCACTGCTGGGGAATTCACTGGTGGCACTGAGTGACATCAATAAGGCAGTTACAAACCTGGCTGGGCACTGACTGGTGGCACTGACTGGGCACACTGGTGGGCTGCACTACTGGATCAGAGGCACTGTCCTGGCATTAAACTTCTGGGCACAGGTGCAGTGGTGAGGGCACTACAGTGGCACAGGGTGTGTATGAAATTTTGCCCTATGGCACAGGTGGGTGGCACTGCTGGGCACAGGTGGGTTATCACTGAGCAAAAATAACAGGTGGCCTCCTTCCTCTGCTTGAAAATGCAATCCCCTAGAGCACAAATTAACTGAACAAAAATCTCGGGTCTATCCCTGCAAGCAAAAATCATTCTATAGGCCATGAAAATCCAGCTCCACAACACACCACAAGCAAATATTCCACCTACAGGAACTCTACAAATCTTCTCTTACCTAGCAAAAACTGCCCCTCACTCTCGGCTACCTCTCCCATCACTCTCTACTCCAAGTGAAAAACCTGCACCAGCAGATCCAGGGCACAAAAATTCCCCCCTCCACCCAGTGCATCACTTTCCCTAGTGATCACTTGTACAAATCTACCTATTCTCGCCAGTTCCTCTCTTCCCCAGTAAAAATCTCTTTATTCCCTCCCCAATAGAAATTGGCCTTTCTCCACATCATGGGCAAATGATCTCATTTTGTTGCTGTCCTTCCAAAGTCCACAGTCATCCCCAATGCATTTTCAGGCTCCAGTTGCAGCAGCACCCCTGAGTGAGTGGCGTAGTCCTCCCAGGCCCCTCTGCTTTTTCATGTGACAAGTCAGAAGAAACCTAAAAGTGCCCTCGGATCTGCAGCTACTTGCCAATTGCTGCTGGAAATTAGCTTGACATGCAACAGGGAAAACCAGGAGGTCATTGGTGAACCAGCAAGAGATGCACACCATGTGCCCTGGGTGTGTGATGTTAGCTATCGCCATGTATTTTCATTTTAAGCTGAGTTCTCATGTAATCTGTTGTACCCCCAAAAGTTGATGGGGGTGGCTGTTATCCCAAATTTCCTAACAAAAAGCCTTGAGTACATTAGGGGCATCTAAGAGACGGCACGAATCCTGCAGGAGTGGGTTAGAAATGGGTAAGCCAAAAGGGTTTCACAAACCAACAACAAAGGGACTGGTGTGGACTACGGCACTACAGTTATTCCTGGATGAATAAATTAATCCTTGAGAAAGTAGGCTGTATTTGTTGTATGCATCTCAAGTTTTTGTTTTCAGTTTTGACTGAAGTCACCTTTTGAGTGGTCTATAAATATAGGAAGGTGATTAACTGTACCGGCATGAACTGACTACAATCCAGGAGCTCTGGTGGCCAAACATTTACATCACAATCATTGGATTGGAAAAGGCAGAACAAGTACAAGCTGCTGCTTGATGAGAAACAAAAACCATTAAAGAATCATTTAAACCCAACATTTGTTATTCCTGATATGTGCCTGCTGTACTATATACTTGTATGAAAAAGTATCCTAGCTCTTTGTATTGCTTCCTTTGTCTGAAATCCTTGGTGTTCCTGCCAGTCCCTCTGCTTTCCTATTAGCATGAGAGCACAGAGTGGTCAGTTTTCTAGCTGTGCTGGGAACTGGGTGTGTTCTCCAGTGATCAGACTTCTGCAGACACAGAGAAAGGGACTACACAGCCATTCACTGTTCAGTGTCCTGGCTGTTGTTTCTCCTCCCCCAGCTTTCTCTTTTCAGCTATATAGAGAGCTTAGAGGGTACAGTGATCACTTATAAAACAGGGAAGAAAGATATTTTATAATTTTTCTTTATATCTAGAGTATACACAAATGTTTTTTTTTCATTTTGTTTTAAACTGAATAGGTTTATGTAAGAGGAGAGGGTTATGCATAACTTTAAGACATGTTTACAAACCTGTCCATCAATTTTATACCCAAAAGACTAGACAATAGCTATAGTGGGTTAATTGTTCTTTACTGGCTTGGTGGCACACAAACAAATGTTTACAATCAAAACCACTTGCCTGGCATAAACCCCCTTAAAGGCAGAACAAGTTTCAAGCGCTGCTGCACTTTGACAATTGTCATGCAACAAACCATATGTTTTTTTGATCATTTTTTTCTCACAAATAGAGTTTCTTTTGGTGGTATTTAATTGCCACTGCTTTACTTTTTGCGCTATAAATAAAAAAGTGCAAAAACTTTGAAAAAAAAAATCTTTGTTTCTATTATAAAATTTTTCAAACAGGTAATTTTTTCTCCTTCACTGATGTGCGTTGATGAGGCAGCCTGATGGCACTGATAGGCGGCACTGGTGGGCACTGATAGGCAGCACTAAAGGGCACTGATAGGCAGTATTAATGAGGTGGCACGGATAGGTGGCACTGATAGACAGCACTAATGAGGTGTCACGGATAGGCGGCACTTTGATAGCACTGATAGGCGGCTGATGTGACACTGGATGTGGTACTGATAGACGGCACTGACTGGCATCACTGCTGGGCACTGACTGCGGCACTGACTGGCACAACCGCTGTTCCACTGACTGGTGGCCCTGACTGGCAGCACTGCTGGGCCACTGGTGGACGGCACTGGTGGTCAGTGGGTCACTGGTGGGCACAGGTGGGTGGGCACAGGTCTTGGCACTGCCCACAGGTAGGTGGCACTTCTGGGCACAGGTATGTAGACACTGCAGAGTGGCACAGGTGGGTGCACTGCTGGGCACAGGTGGGTGCACTGCTGGGCACAGGTGGGTGATCTGCTGGCACAGGTGGGCAGAGCTAGTGGGCGCACTGCTGGGCACAGGTGGGCGGAACTTGCGGGTGGCACTGCTGGGACCGATCATCAGGGCACTGATCATCATGCCCTGATTTCTGCCGATCCCCGGGACAACTGCCGGTTCTCGGAGTACTTTTCACGATCTGACAGCGTGAGGAAAGTGCAGCCGAGAACCGGCACTTGCATTTCCCTGTGACAGCGTTTCATTGGACACCTGCTGATCAATGGTAAAAGGCCGCTTGATGGCCTTTTACCACATGTTTCACGTGATCAGCTTGTCCGTAGGACATAGCTATAGTGGGTTAAGCGCATTCTGGGAGGACGTCTTGGATCTTTTGGAGCACACAAAGCTTCAATGTATGTACAATTAAATGTAAAATTAGTAAGCGACATAATTTGATTAAAGTGCTTGGGGTCCTATGCTATACAACATTATATAAATATAGTTTTTGGTGATACCTCTAAGTGTTTTGACCACGGGTTTGGAGTCCATGGGACTATGTTCATATTGACCAGATTCATAAGTTGTCTAGAGTCCTCTTTTTTTTTTTTTTTTTTTTGTGGCTCCTGTGGTTTATTATTTTTCCTCCAGGTTTCATTTGCCTCTCCTCTCTTTCCCTTCTTCACTTTTCTTTTCTTTTTTTTCTTCCTTCTTCCCTTCATGCCCTTTCTTTTTGATTATGACTGATATAGTAAAGATGTTCTCCTCTTTAGGATGTATTGTCCAATTTTTTTGCAGCGTGGTTGACCACCGATTCTCTGTTAAAGATTGAAAGAAATATAGTTTTGTCAGTGACTCGCTATCCGCCACCATTTCTACAATGGGAGGACGGATCCTATTTCAGTCAAGGGGGGGTGTGGAGATGTGCAGCAAAATTGATGCATATAAAATAGTCTTGTCTTATCTTCTCCTAAGACAAATAGATCAATTTATCCAGATTCAATAATAATCAGACAGGTTATCAGGCTTATTTAGTTATTATGTTATCAGCAAACATATTTTTATTAGCAATATACATATTATTAATAAAATATTAAAACAGGCAGTACGTTCACATAAAATGTGCAATAATCATAAGTTATTACAGCAGTAATATTAAGACAGGTCTGTAGAACCTATAAAGTGTATGAACAACTTTGCTGAGGAAATCCAGAGGGTAAAATATTATAAAGTGCGCCATAACAAGACAGCATGTGTATGCATACTGTACATGCATACATACAGTCTCTATCCAACCTTGCCTGTGTGTTTTCATGTTTTGTTTGAGCAGAGTTTGTCCAATTCAAATGTTGTGGGTTTTTCTTGTGCAATCTAACCCCACCATGTCATTCATGTTATAATCTGGAAACCACAGATGATGTATGACTAAACAGTCATGAGTAAACAGGCAAAACCTTTATTTTTTTTTTATTTTTTTTTTTTTTAATGTTCTCTATGGTCATTTTTCCTGGTTCATTCCCTATAAACACACATGCATGCTGTTATGGATAATTATCCCACACTTGGGTATTCTACATTGTGTTAGGTAAGGTTATATTTCCTGTTTCCTATCTGTTTAGGCAGACATGGGCTTTTCCCTCTTCAGGTCAGTAAACCGAAAAGAGTAAGTTTTCTGGAATTTCTAAAAAAGATAAACAGGCAAATCAATTAAATCATATGAACAGCTGCATTTTGTTCAGTCTGATTCATAAAAGCTTTATTTCTGTTCCTGGAGATTTGTGACTGGTCCACAGCTCTCATATGGCACATGGAGCCAATCGCAGCACCCTGTACCGTGTGACCAGCTGGAGCCAATCACAGATCACTGTATTTTGAACTGTCATGAACTTAACACATTCATGGCAGTTCAAAGCAAGCTTTGCATTGCAGAGCAAAAATCTTCATTGCTTATGTAATGCAAAGTGTGCAAAAAAAAACAACAAATCCCTAATCACCCCCCCCCCCCCCCCCCAGAGTAGTACAATGTTAATATGGTAACATTGCATCACTCTGATGAAAGTATTTTTTAAAAAAAAGTAAAAAAATGTTTAAAAAATTGAGTGAATTTTTTTTTCACTTTTTTCTAACTACTTGCCACCTGCCTGCCAACAAAGTGCGGGTGAGAGGCAGCTCTGGGCAAAGCGACGTAATGTTATGTCCAGGTGTGGACTGACAACTCATGGGGCCCCCGGGCAATAGGAGATCATGGGGCCCCTGTGTCCTCGCCCACACCCAAAAAAGCCTATGAAAAAGCCAATGAAAGGTACCAGGGCATCTCATGGGGCCCCCTACTGACCCCGGGCTCTAAGGCATTGCCCGAGTGCTCGAATGGTCAGTCAGCCCTTGGTTATGTCGCTTTCTATTTCTGGGTGGGCGTGCTCATGTGTGCGCCCCCTATGCCATCCAGGAAGAGAAGAGGGAACTGTCAGCGATCGCGGCAACAAGTGGGTCCACACATACGCGGAGTGACGATCCACGCTAGCCAGCGGGTACTAGGACCTGGGCGGCGGCGGTCGCGCATGCGCACTCGCGATCGCGGACGCTCGCCTGGCACCAATGGCAGGGCGCACTATTTAAACCTGCCCTGCACAAACTCCCATTGCCGTATGGTCTATTTGTTCCTGTGTTCCTGTATTCCTGCTATGGTGATTCGTTGCTGACTCTGCCTGATCCTGACCTCTGCTGACTTCTCCTGCTCTGACCCCCTGGCTTGTTTGACCTCTCTCCTGGACATTCCTTATCTGATCTGAACTCCTGTTACCGACCCCGGCGAGTGACCTGACTACTCTTCTGCCTGCTGCCTGGTACTACGCTGACCCCACTGTTACCGACTTGGCCCGTTTCACCACGTTCATCACTCATCCGTCCATTCATCCATCCATCCTGCACAGATCCAGCCATCCCTGCTTCCGCCTTCTGCCTCTTCACATCAGGCTCTCCACCTGCATAGACCTCTGGCGGATTCCTCTACCTCAGGCAGGTGTACTCAGGGGCCGTGACCTCGTTCCTGTCTGCTCCAAGTCCATCCCCACCATCAGGGGCCCTGGTGAACAAGCAGACTGGGGCTTAGACTCCGCGCTCTGGGGAATCCTGTCCTGTGGACTGCTAGAGGTACCGCCAGGCGGTTGTTAACAGGAACACAGCACTGAGTAAAAGCACTAGCTTTTACACACACACACACACACACACACACACACACACACACACACACACACACACACTAGATTAGCACATTTAACTTGTTGATTGCCCCTATTAACCTTTTGATCACCCCATCACCCAGCCAGTGACATTAGTACAGTGTCAGTGTATAGAATTTTTTACTGATCACTGTATTACTGCCGCTAGCAACATCAGATAGCATCAGGATCTGTAAACTCCCCTCCCAGCCAAGGTCAGCTAGCGTTAGATTGCTTGCACACTACCGCACTCACGCTATAGGTCGCTGATCACCGCCATTTCTAGAATAGTGTTTGTACAGATCGACATAGTGATCACAAACAGAACTATACTAGTGCCTGCTTTGTTTAGTGTCCCCAAAAACGCAGTGTTAGCAGGATCAGCCCCGTTTGCTGCCAGCACTAGTGTTTAACCCCTCCGCTGTTTTCCATGGAAGATTTGTATGAATTAATTGTTGGCCAATGCAATTTATACGCACAACAATACATCGCTGCCCACCCAAATTCAGCTCTTGCCAGACAATTCACTTGGAAAATGATCACGGCTTCTGAATTTAAAACTTTTTTGGGCCTAACCTTCAACATAGGCATTACAAAAAAGAATGAATTGCGGTCATATTGATCCACAGACCCGATTCATCATATGCCAGATATAAACAGCGCCATTTTAAACTTGGGAAAGCATCTGATCACACCAATCTTGGTGTGACCAGATGCTTTAAGGGCAGAGGAGAGATCTAGAGTCTAACAGACCCCAGATTTCTCAAAAAAGAGTACCTGTCACTGCCTATTGTTATCACAAGGGATATTTACATTCTCAGTGATACCAATAAGTAATTGAAAAAAAAATGAAAGGGACAGTGTAAAAATAATTAAAAAACCAAAATAAATAATGCAAAAAAAAAATTCAGCCCCACCCCATGCAAAGGCAAACTCAACTGGCGGTCCTGTGGCGTTATGTAAACAGAGATTGCACCATGCATGTGAGGTATCACCGCGAACGTTAAATTGAGGGCAGTAATTCTAGAACTAGACCTCCTGTGTAAATCTAAAGCCTGTAAAGGCTTTTAATCGTCGCCTATGGATATTAAAAAGTTATGTAATTTCCCGCCATTGCATGGGTGTGCACAGTTTTAAAGCATGACATGTTTGGTATTCATTTACTCAACGCAACATCATCTTTTATACTCTATCAAACAATTGGGCTATATATTGTGCTTTTGTGCATTAAAATTCTAAAAAGTGTATTTTTTAAAAAATATTTGTGTTTGCAAAATCGCTCTGCAAATACTGTGTGACATAAACATTTTTAACAACCACTGTTTTATTCTGTAGGGCCTCTGCTTTAAAAAAATATATAATGTTTGGGGGTTCAACGTAATTTGCTAGCAAAAATGTTTTTTGAAGTAAACAAAAGGTGTCAGAAAAAGGCTTGGTCTTCAAGTGGTTAGAAAAGTATGTGATGTCTGGCTTAAGCTTCTAAGGTTGGCCCTGAAATGTCAAGATAGTAGAAGCAACCCCCCCCCCCCAAATGACCCCTTTTTGGAAAGTAGACACTCCAAGGTATTTGCTAAGAGGCATGTAGGTCTCATTTGTTGCCACAAGTTTTTGGAAAACAAAAATGTATTTTTTTTCTTTTCTTTTATTATTTTTCAAAATCCTGTGACAAAAAAAGATAGCTGCAAAATACTCACCATGCCTCTTATCAAATTCCTTGGGGTGTCTACTTTCCAAAAAGGGGTAATTTGGGTGGGTGTTTGTACTATCCTGGCATTTTAGGGCCTCTGAACAACTGTGATAGGTAGTGAGGGAGTGATTATGAGGAAATGTGCCCTTTGAAAAAAAAAAAAAATTGTCATTTTCCAAAAATTTGTGGCAAAATATAAAATGTTCCATGGACTCATCATGCCTTTCAGTAAATTCCTTGGAGTGTCTACTTTTCAAAAAGGGGTAATTGGGGGGGTTGTACTGCCCTGGCATTTTAGCATCCCAAGAAATGTGATAGGCAGTCAGAAAGTAAAAGCTGCGTAAGTTCCAAATATATATACCATAGTTTGTAGACGCTATAACTGTCACACAAACCAATTAATTTACATGTATTGGGATTTTTTTTTACCAAAGACATGTAGCAGAATACATTGTGACCTAAATTTATGACTAACTTTGAGTTTACTGGATATTTTTTCTGACCAAAAGTAAAAAAATATTGTTTTTTTTTCAAAAATATTCGGCCTGTTTTCATTTACAGTATTTTTTTTTTTATAAGACGCACCTGACCATAAGACGCACCTAGATTTTAGAGAAGGAAACAAGAAAAAAAATATTCTCAACCAATGGACTGCAGACATAGTACAGAAAATGACCAGAGACTGCGGATATAGTACAGGAGATGACCAGAGACTGTGGACATAGTACAGGAGATGACCAGAGACTGCGGACATAGTACAGGAGATGACCAGAGACTGCGGACATAGTACAGGAGATGACCAGAGGCTGCGGACATAGTACAGGAGATGACCAGAGGCTGCGGACATAGTACAGGAGATGACCAGAGGCTGCGGACATAGTACAGGAGATGACCAGAGGCTGCGGACATAGTACAGGAGATGACCAGAGGCTGCGGACATAGTACAGGAGATGTGACCAGAGGCTGCGGACATAGTACAGGAGATGACCAGAGATTGCGGACATAGTAGAGGAGATGAACAGAGACTGTAGACATACTACAGGAGATGACCAGAGACTGCAGGCCTTTGGGGAGCGGGGGGGGGGGGGTGGGTACCCGAATTTGATAGGTACCCGCTCCCACGTGGAGTTGTCCTCCCCATAGTCTTGTGGGACACGTGACGGGTCCCAGAAGACTACAGGGGGCCATTCAAAATCGCAGCGCTTCTCACGCATTCACAGTGCCCACACTGAAGATGCTGGCGCAGAGGAGAGAAGACTGCTGGTGAAAGCAGGACACCACTGGACCGAGGAACAGGTAGGACTGAGGAGCAGAATTCTTCTGCACAGTAGAGCCGAGAGGTCGGCCCGGTATTCTAACACGCTGGCGGCGGGAATACTGGACCGGCCGCTCCATATTTGCTCCATAAGATGCACAGACATTTTCCCCCTTTTTATGTGGGAATGAGCTGACAAACTGCACAGAAAGAGATTAGAGACAGTTATTTCTTTACTTTGCTTTGGCATTGGTTTCCCTGAACACAGTGAGAGCAACTGATCTTGTTCCTCCCACTGTGTGACATCAGAAACCGAAGATTTAATTACTTTCGGTTTCTTTGTTTACCGGCTTGTGAAGCAGCAGGTCAGATTGATCTCAGTTTGATCTGCTGCTTTGGAGGCCAGATGAGAACTCTAGGGTCTCAGAGACCCCTGATCTTCCCATAAAGAGGATCTGTCACGGCCCATACTAACACAAGGAATGTTGAGCATTCCTTGTGATAGCAGTAAAAGTTATAAAAAAAAATAAAAGTACAGTGTAAAAATAAAAAGATGAAATAAAATAGATAATACATTTTTTGTAAAAAGCTCCCCTGACCCCCCCTTCCCCCCCATGCTCACACACAGAGGCATAGGTACGCTTTAGTCACACTTACAAACATAACCAGCAATAGCAGCACACATTTGAGATATCACCATGAATGTCAGATCGAGAGCAATAATTCTAGGGCCAGACCTCCTAAGGATAATTTCATGTACCGTAGCTTGTCGCTGTTCCATGGGCATGCGCAATTTTAAAGTGTGCCATGTTTGGTATCTATTTACATGGCATAAATTATCTTTCATATTTGGTATTTGTATTATATTGTGTTTGTGTGCACTAAAATTCATTAATCTGTATTTCTTTGTTTAAAAAAATTTGCATTTGAAAAACCGCT